AAACGCAGTCTTCTGCTCTTCGCCAATTCGCCTCATCGCATGCGGCCTTCCGCCTCCGCCACTGGCTACCGGCCACCGCCCAGTAGTCCAGCACGCCAGTTCGCCTAGTGTCCACAGACCACAGTCGCAGCACGACAGTAGCGACTAGCGAGGAGCCCTCCAGTCCACACCAGCGAGTTGTCGTTCGGCCCTCTCGCAGACTCTCACCCATCGCTGTTCGCACCTCAGGCCCTCACTCCCTCAGTAGTCAACAAGCAGCAACAATAGGTCGTGCATTGCACGGGCAAAAATACTAGTAAAAATAAAAATAAAAATATTACTGAAATTTAAGTGTGCCACCTAATTGTTATCGAAAGGAGAACGGAAAACTAATCACTATCTTCAGATTTCATTCCATAATCCTCATGGAATTAGTTTGAATTGAGCGGCTACTATTTTAAGAAATTAAAATACCCACAATGATGATAGATTGTAATACTATATCATTATTTTTTTTTTCAAAAACAAAAAAACAAAAAAAAAAAAAACTTATTCATCAAAATTACTTAGATTCAAGATGTTTTTATAGGAATTATAACTTTATAAGGGAGTACCTCATTCTAACTTAGTTACTTCTCTAATTCGAATTATGGAATATAAGTGATATAAAATTCTACAATATTTAACATAAATATATCTGTAAGTGTAAAAATGTTGCACATTTAAACCTCTTAATATTGGCTTAGATTACTTGTCAAAGTAGTTCTGGATTAGTTGCTAGATTAATCATAACGTCTGAAGTAGTTGACTGGATCAACGCAAGAAAGTAATCCAGGAGGTATGAAACTTCTTCAAATCTTTTATTCAGTCAAGACCCTATCATGGAGGAGATCTAAATCAATTGGAGCAGCCGAAATCAAGGAAGGAAAGAGTGCTTGATTTGTGGATCGAAGGAACCTTTATTACCTATATAAAATGCTACTTTGGTTAGTATTTTTCACACACTCTTTGATATGTTTTTGCTCTGAAATTCATTGTTCAATTATTCCAAATATATACTGTATTGCTGAGTGTGAAGAAAGACTCGTAACAAGATCATGAAGCAATGAAGATAGCCTGCACATCGGATCCACTGAAGTAGGCTCTGGAGTAGTTATAGGTTATACTTTAGTGTGTAATTAACTCTCCTCTTGTACTCCTTTTTATCATAGTAGATTTTGGTTGATGTGAGTGGCCCCGCAGACATAGGAGTGAGGCCCCGAACTGCGTGAATATTTCCTGGTGCATGCTTTCTTTTACTGCTCTCTTTTTTATGTTCTTTATTACCTGGAGTAGGATTCTATCTAGTCCAGCTTTATAATTGAGATAAAATTAATTTCTTAAGCTAAATCTTGCATTCAAGACTTACGTGCTTTTTCAATATCATAATCTTTAAATAGAATGTGACAGAATATATTTATAATATTTTGTAATTTATGTAATGTTTTTAAGCATGCACTACTCATTTTTAAAATTAAATATTTTGATGTACAATGAATCAATGATACAATCTTATAGTATTTCTCAATCTCTATTTTTATTAAATCTCTAATACAATAAAAAAAATCTTAAATACGAGAATAATTCATACTTTTATAGTAATTAAAATTCTAATAGAATTATACCACTAAGTCAAGTTCGTTGCACATAGTCTTTGTCTATCTGCAATTGATAGTTTCTGTACTTGTTATTATATTACGTGTCAGCAATTATCAAGTTAGATTCTGTATTTATAGTTGATACTTTTTATATCTGCAGTTTGATAGTTTCTATACTTATAGCTATCATATTATGCGTCAGCAATTATCAAATTATTTGTTTACATGTGTACAAAAACGGTTAATTGTAAATACAAAATATATTAATTTACGGTACAAAATTTGTGTATCAAGGTTTCCTATAACATAACATGGTATAACAATTGAAGCACGTGCCACCAATGAAAAAGCAATCACTCTCAGTCTCTCACTATTTAAAGTGCGCCACCCACGGAAGAGCAATCACTCTCTCACTCTCACTGATTCTCTCTCACTCTCTGTACGCTATACAGTGATTTCTTTTCATTGCTTCAATTGCAACACTTTATATCTCTAAATGCATGATACATTTTGATCGTAGTTCATGTTAAACTTTGGTGTTTATCTTCATTTATTTCAGCATAGCATTTTGATCAATCATTGTATGATACTTGTGTTGGAAATTTTGAGTTCCAACACAGGTTTTAATACTGATTTTGAGTGAATTAATTTACAAAATATAATCTTTTTAAGTATCTTAGATTGTAAATGCTAATTTTTCAATGGTTTAACAAGATAGAAGGTTCTGATCCTAATTTTGAGTAACAGAAATATAAGTCAGAAAAATAATGATAAATTAAGCATATTACAGACTATGACTATCAAATATACAATAAACAGTAGATGGTGACTGTTAATTAAGTTCAAATCTTTCTATCTCTTCTTTCGTTTGCATGCTGTTAAGTTTAAAATTAATGAATATTTGTTTTGATTCAGGAGGCATGGATAGAAGGCTCTGCTTTGTTGTTGTTGTTGTACTAGCTGCTATTAGCAGCTGGTGCTGTAGTGCAAAAGATTTAGCAGCTGCTGACCTTAAGACACAATCCTTAGGTACTAACCAATCCATTTTAATTGGTTATTTTTCACTTCCATATCCTCATAATAAAATGTTATTATCTCTATATGGTTTGTTGACAAACACTACTGTATAGTAGATCGAACAACGAACTTCTGGTTTTTAACATCTATCATGGAGATTTGAAAGTTAGAAACACTAATATTTTTAAGAATTTTTAGTTTCTAACAATCACTTATTCGTCTAAATGAAAATTTTAAAATGAGATCCTACTAAATATTTTATACAAGCTAAGGCTCTTTTGCTTGCTTGTGCACTTTTATCAATTTGGAATATCCGGCCAGTTTCTTGAGTCATTTCGATAAATAAATGTAACTGCTGAATGAGATTATGGAATACATTATATTAGTTTTTGCTTACATCCACAGAGGAACAAGTTCAAGTCAGCGGAAATGAAGATCAGTGCTCATTGTGTAAACAAATTGCATCTAACGTTATCACGTACTTTTCGGAGAATTATCAGACCCTTTACAGTCTCTGCTATGCGCTTTTTGACTTGTTTCCACAGGTATTTTATCCGGAAACAATTCAACAATCTACTTAACAACATACCACATATATACTACATACAACAAAAGCAGATAGAGAATGTTTTGTTGATATGCTATCTGGTACATTTCTGCTAGATAAGTTGTGAAAGCTTAGAATGAGCTTTGAGTGATGGAAAATTTACAACTGTTGATCTGCCATAATATCTTTAAATTAAATTTGAAGTTATTGATCTTTTATTATTTATAACTTTCCTTTTACCATTACCAGTATTGAAAATTGAATTAATATATATTATCCATTCTGCAAACAGTGCTTTGAAATTGTGGAAGAGATCTCCTCCTCAGACCCTGAAACTTTGTGCAAATCGGTCCATCTCTGTGAAGGAGTTGTTTCCATTTCTCAATATGCATCCAATAGTAGCTGTGATTTATGTCATCGTGCTGTTATGGGGGCCATACAGAAGTTGAAAAATCCAGACACACAGGTATACTATCTATATATGCTCATATATTTTTGGTTCATATTTGTTCAAAAGAGAATTTGTTCGATCCGGCCTGCATTAGTTTGGTTCACTTTTATAATATCAAATGCATATTTTATATCACTTTATCCGTGTAATCTTTCAGGTTGAAGTACTTCAGCTGTTCCTGAGGGCTTGTGATTCTGCTAAAAAAATTTCAACAAAGGTGAGAGTTGTAATAAAATATACTCCCTACATAAAATAGCATATGTTATTGATATATTTTAAGTATTTACATTTTATTCATGAATTCCCTAGTGATGTATATATATACATATATACACATCACTTAACAAGAGCCATTTGGAATAATGTTGTTCATAATTTTTGGGTTGATGTGGCTTACTAATCTCATTTTCATGATAAATTTGACAGTGCAAGAAACTGGTTTTCGAATATGCCCCTTCGATTCTGATGAACGCCGAGCAATTCCCAATAACAAATGACATCTGCACTTTGCTGCATGTTTGCGACTCGCCAACTCTTGGAATTGAGCATTCTGCATCTTAAGGAAGAAAACCAGTGGAAACCATGTTCACATGTTGTAACCTGTGGTCTGCTTTCTTTTACAACCTTGTTCACATGTTGTAGACAGTGGTTTGCCTTATTTTACAATCTAGCTTGTTCACATGTTGTAGACTGTGGTTTGCTTTCTTTTAGAGGGTAGCACCTTCACTGGATAGTACCCCATGCATAGTTCTTACGATACAAAGTCTATTAATTGGCGTGTTCTTACAACACAAAATTAAACCCTATTAATTGACGTTATCTATGTTTTCTCTTGTTGCCACTTCTCTCTTGGTGTGCTTCACTGCAGTTTTAGTGCTTTGGCTCTGTGCACCTGTCTTCCTTCCCCAAAAAGACAATGATAATAGGTATATTTGTGGTGCAAAACATGAAGAAAATCAGAATCAAGGCATTTATTAAAATTGAAATGCAATTGCTCGTCTCTTCCAAAGTTCACTCATTATTCTTCTATTTTGACTTTTTCCAAAGAGAACTTTCCCAAAAACCTCGTCATTTTACGCCAGACTTGTTTGGGTTTTCAATTTTATGTGTACTCATAAACCAGACCACGACACTTATTTATTTATTTATGGTACATGTGTAGGTGGCTGATTCAGCGGAGTAGAATCTCTGAAATTATTGCAAACAAAATAAATAAATAAATAAAACTCATTTATTATTTTTTTAAAATAATTTTTTTATTTAATCTTTATTTTTATCACTTCACTTATGTCATAAAGATGATCCTTAAACCAACACACTAAACCACAATTTATTTTTTTTTGAAGAAAAAAACCATATTTCAATAAAATCAAGAGCTGTTACATAAGTGTTTACCAACAGAGCGAGGGATAAAATCAAACATCTCAATTCTATCATCCCCTAAACAAGTAAGAGCTCTTTTTGCTAAAGAATGAGCCAGCATATTTTTACTACGGTGCACATGGCGAAACGTGACCATAGGCAATTGATCCAGCAGCTCACGAACATCTTCAATAATAGAACCAAACGGAGAGATATTGGCACCCCCAGTAAGCGCTTGTGTCACCAGTTTTGCATCCGTCTCCAGCACGACCCTCGGCCAACCCTTTCCTTTTATCCAGCTTAAAGCTTCCCGAGCTCCCATTGCCTCGGCCTCCTTCACCATAAAACACCCCTCCTTTGCAAACATAACCACCCCAGCACCGTATCATCCCCATCGGTCACACTCCACCCAAAACCCATTCTGTGCGCAGCATAATCCATAGCAATATCTATATTAATTCTGACATCACCAGAATTTTGGAGAGCAGAATATTCAATCTGGAAATCAGCTACAGGGGTATGAATGTTGTCGCCCTCCTCTCTATTCGCCTTCCAATTTTCCTCATACAGCAACGCAAGCCTCACTATAGTTCCTGGTTCCGACACTCGCTGCTGCCATACCCTCCCGTTTCGAGCTTCCCAAATTGCCCAAGCCACCATCACAACCTGCTCAAGCATTATAATTGGTAACACAGTCCACATCTCCTCAATCAAGCCATAATAGAATGGGTATAGCACATAACCCAATCAGCATTCAACTTTTGCCAGCATTGATGAGCAAATTCACAATTTGCAAATAGGTGCACAATACTCTCATTTGCCTTACCACACAAAACACAAATTGAATCACATTGAACCTGTTTTATCAAAAGAGCATCCTTTGTGGGAAGCCGCATAGTACACAAGTTCCAAAAGAAACATTTTATTTTTGGTGGTATGTTCAGCCACCACAGCCCCCTCCACACTACCCCCTCTTCCTGCCCCAATTCCCCTGTCGCAAGACGGTACGCACTACTAACAGAATAACGACCATTTTGCTCTTTGTGTCAATATAAAGAGTCACACCTACCCCTAGATGATATAGGTATACTCAAAACTAAATTGGCATCCCGCTCACATAGAACATCCCTCACCACCCCCGTATCCCACCTTCTTTGATTCACACATAAGAGGGAACTCACCACGGGATCCCCCAAATATTCTTGTACTGGGGTAGTAATATACGGGTTCACCTCATCTGGGAGCCACGGATCACCCCAAACTTTCGTTCTCTCCCCATTCCCAATTCTGCACCGCACTCCCTGTCTAATCAAATCCTGGGTTTCCCGAATACTGGACCACACAAATGAAGGGTTAGATCCTCTATTTGCTTCTAGAAACGAACATTTTGGGAAATATCGTGCTTTAAAGACATTTGTTACCAAAGCATCCGGTTTTGTAATAAAATTCTAACCCTGCTTCCCCAACATAGCAAGATTCATCTCACGCACACGTCGAAACCCCATCCCCCCATATTTCTTTGGGGCACACAAGTCACTCCACCTACTCCACCTTATCCCCCCTCGTTCCCTTCTCTTGCACCCCCACCAGAAAAAATTCATAATCTGTTCTAACTCATCACTCAACCCAATGGGAAGGAGAAAAACATTCATTGCATAATTCGGAATACTTTGAAGAACAGTTTTCAAAAGGACCTCTCTTCCCCCTCGGGATAAAAACCGGTTACCCCATTGCATCACTCGAGCCCTAAGCCTCTCCCGGATGAACCCCAATATTTCTCTCTTCTTCCTACCCACATAACCCGGCAGCCCCAAATACTTCCCCTGCTGCTGCTATTCGTGAATCCCCAACGTATCACAAACAGCCTCCTTATCCTCCCTATGAACATTTCTCCCAAAAACAATAGTTGTTTTCCCCAGATTTACCTCAATTTATAGCACTCAAGAATTATTTAAGAATTTGAAAAAGGTAATATAAAGTGAAACCAACATAAAAACTATCAAAGAAAATGCAAAGAACACATAAGGGCATTTGTGATTTTCCTATTCTATTTATGTTTTTTTTTTGGGTTTTTTTTTAGTTTTTTTATGTTTTTTTTTTTGACAGAGTTATAAAATTAAAGAAATTAACAACTAGTCAAAAGCAATATACACACTAAGAGTTGACAAAAACATGCATTATTTCTATCAACAAATATTTAAAAGACTTATAAAAGGTAAAGTTCAACTAATGCTAGAGTTTTAAAATAAAAAGGTTTAAGAAAATGAACATAAGAAAATTAAAAATTTTGAAATTTTTTAGTTTTCTATGATTTGTGGGTAGAACCCCTTCCCCACACTTATTTTCAACATTGTCCCCAATGTTGTGAGAGGAAAGAAAAGAAGACAAAGAGAGTCCTCCTTTTTTAGATTTTTTATATGTGGAATTCTCATATGGCCATGCAGTGTGAGAATAACAAAAAGAAACTAATTTATCAACTCCATTCAAAAGATTTTCTTTTTGGAGTTTATCAAAACCCAACTTACCATCATCTGCAAAATTCAACTCCTAAACTGCAAAACACTTGTTAGCTCTATCAAACAAATTCATAGACATAAAAATTGGAAACTGAATAGTTTCATCAAGCACATTTTTGGTCAATTTATCATTTTGAACATCAAAGGGATTGTGGGCAATTCTTGTTGTAGCACTGCACTTACAGGCACACAACTTTTGAGCCTATTTGGAAATAGAGTCAGGGGCATATAAGGCTTGGGTGGTACATAAGGCTCTTCTTCCTCAAAATCTTCATTTTGTATAGGGGTGGTTTCAAAGCTTTCATCAACAAGGATTGGGGGCACATAAAGCTTGGGAGGCACATAAAGATTATCATATTTATGCAATTGAGGCTCATTTTCAACAATAATATCATCAACATTATTATGCAATTTTTTTAATTATTTCATCTTGTTTAGAAATCATATTATTTTCTGACTTGTTTTCATTGATATCATCAGCCTTAGCCTCTTCAGGTTGACTAGGTAACTTACCTGGCACATGCTCTTGCACAAATTTAGCAATTTGCTCTAAATGTGCTTCAATTCTTTTAAAACAAGTCTCATTTTCTTGGAATCGTTGTTCATCTTCTTCTTGTGGCTCATAAGTTTCTTGTTGCATATGCAACCATTGATCATGTGTGTCTTGTTGCCTATTGCAAAATGATTGTTTTTTAAGTTGGAAATCATGGATATTGCAATCCTGCATGAACTCTTGTAAAGTATCCTCCAAAGATGGTTTTTTAGGTTAGAGTGTGTCAATTGATTGAAAATCATTTTGATTATAATCACAATAAAAATTAAAATGACTTGGTTGAAAATCTTTTTGATTATAATCACAATAAAAATTATGATGATTGAGTTGAAAATTATTTAGATTATCATCCCAAGAAATACGATGACTTGATTGAAAATCATTTTGATTATTACCCCAAGAAAAATTAGGGTGATTTTCCCAACCCGAATTATAAGAATTGTAAAACGAGCCTTGCACAGGCCTTTGATTAAAATCATTCATTAGACTTACCTGTCCGAAACCATTATTAAAATGATTATTTTGGTTTGACAAAAAAGAGTACATATTAAAATGTAAAATTTTCAAATATTTGTATGATTTAAGACTGAAAAAGAATTTTGAGAAAGTAAAATGGACTAATGAAAATAAATAAACAAGGTTAAATTGAAGGAAAAGGAAAAAAATTGACAATAATAATAAAGAGATTGGAAAAAAAAACATGCAGTATTAAGAAAGGGGAAAATAAATAACGGAATAAGGAAAGCTAAAACTAGTATAAAATAAAAAGATAACTTAAATGCAAAATAATTGACATTTAGGAGCTAAAAGGAATGAGTTACGGAGAAAATATCAAAGACCAGATTCAAATCAAATGTAAATTAAATAAATCAATTAACAAAAGCCAGAGTAGCAAATTAACAATCAAATAAAGCATGTAGAAAACAAAACAAATATAAAGCAGCATTTGGAATTAAAAATTAACTATTTAAAAAAAAAAAAAAAAGAACTAAATCAAATTGCAGAGTAAACAAATTCCCCGGCAACGGCGCCAAAAATTGATGGACAATTTTAGTAGTGTGCTTTCGCAAGGGTCGAACCCAAAAGGAATTGATACTAAACAATTCAATAACTTGAATTCTTGAAGTTAAAATAACTTAACGAAAATGCTCAAAATAAATACGAAGGCTAATTTAATTGCTAAAATCAAAACTAAAAAAATCTAAGCAAATAATTATCATGCACCAATTGAGATAAATAAAAATCAGAATGAAATAGCCTAAGAACAAGAATAAAATTTGCCAAATTTCAACTCAAGTAATCTATATGCAAAACACAAGATAAAACTCAATTCGTTGGCAATAATAAAATTAATACTAACGCAGAATTTCCATAGCAATTGTATCATGTATTTAACAGCAAATAACTCACAAAACATAACCTCTAAATTACCATCACAAAGCCAATTAAAAATAATAAAAACTAAAAGGGAAAGAATTTCTATTAAATAAAAACTATCACAAAGCAAAGTAAAAATAATCAAAACTAAAGGGAAGGATTAGACAATAAACGTGAATGAATTGTTGTTGCCTAACAGAGTTGTGCTGGAAAAACGATGCTGCCCAGAACAATGTTGTTGTCGCCAAGGTAAATTCACCGAAGCCAAACAAATAATTTCGAAGCTGCCGAGCAAGTATAGATCTTCTTCGCCGATCGGAAATCTCTGCCATCGCCTCCGGAATTGGTCCGGGGCAAAAACTGATTCTTCTTTCCTCGAATTCACCATCTATTTATATTTCTCTCTTAACCAAATTCTTCCGTAATTTCTCACTAAAATTGCTTGATCATCGGAGACTCTACTGCTCACCGCTTCACTCGAATCATAGCCATTGACGGAGAAGAAGTCTGCGATTCTTAATAATAATAATAATAATAATAATATAATAATAATTGTTGTAATTCGGCCTATCAACTCGTTGGTTCTTGCGTGATTATTACACGGTAATTACCCGGAGATTATATATATAAGATTATAAAGTGTAGAGATGTAAGAAGAGAAGAATGACACGAGATGTAGAGCACAAACATGAGTATTTTATTTCATTAAGCCTTCACATGTATTTATACTAATCCATACAACCCTTCATATGCTTAACATAAACAATATATTAAGTAGAAGGAAAATGGAGAGTCTCAAGATTAATGGCCACTAATAAAATATTTATAACACTCCCCCTTGGCCATTAAATAACTATACTCATGCCTCGTTAAAAACCTCGCTAGAAAAACCCAGTGGAAAAAACCTAGACGAGGAAAAGAGTACACGAAGTATGTTGATCCATGTGTTGCACCGGTTGCCTCATTAAAAACCTTAGCCTAAGAAAACCCAGTGGGAAAAAACTTAGCCAAGGAAAAGAGTACAACCATAAGCCTTCTGGGCATAGTCTTCAAGATTTCAAGGGTCTTCAGGACTATCCACTCAAGTGCACCAACATCGGTTGCCTCATTAAAAACCTTAGCTTAAGAAAACCCTGTGGGAAAAACTTAGCTAAGGGAAAAAGAGTACAACCATATGCTTTCGTAGCATAATCTTTAGGATATCAAAAGTCCTCTAGATTGTCCATTCTAGCACAGCTAGGGGTTGTCGCTCCCCC